GTAACAACCGAAGCTTCACAGAGACAGCGTATGATAAATTAAAGGAGCAAAACTAGACAAGAAAAATATTTTTAAAACAAAACTACGTGGGAAACTGAAATGTAAACAAACATGTCCGTTGTTGTTTGTGCGTTGCTGGCGGCAAAACAGCAGCGGCGTTGGTAGCATAACACCGTCGGCGACACTTGATCCGTGGCGGGTGAGGGAGAGTCAACAGACCAGCCAGATATTGAAGACGGACACCCATAACTCAGAACTGGAAGTCGTCGCTGTTGCCCACCTGCTTCGGTTCGGGCACATGAAACTCAAAGCGGTTTTCCGCCTCGTTTACGTTCGGTTCGGCGGTCCTGACGTCGGTGGCGCTTTCAATGCCGAAAAAACGCTCGATCAATTCCATCGATTTAGAGTAAATGTCGTTATTCTCATGGTTTAGAAGAAATTCAATCTTGTCCAGTCCGTAGCACATTTCCACCAACTCCGCATACGGATTTTCGCCATTATTCGTCGGAGCGTCCACTTCTCCTACTTTCAGGATGCTCTCTAGGCCGTTGAGGGCTACCTGAAAATATAACTTGATGACAGGAAGATAAAAAAATTTTTAATTCAATTTCGGCACAAGAGACGAGTAAAACATTCCTTTGCCATATATCCGATGAACAATTGGTTGATACTGTCGCAATCGTGCAAGGTGTGTAGTATAGTGCTCATCTTGAAGGAAATGAACACTTCTTAATGAATGCATAGCAGAGAGGGATTTAGTATTCCTTGCACTTCTCGGTATACTGCTACAAGATGGGGTTAATGATGGAGAATTCTGTTCAGAAACGGCTTGTTCTTTACTAGCTAGCAATTCCAGGCTTTACCGGATACGGTTCAGGGTGATTCAGGTAAAGACCTTGCAAACTTGTGACAGGAGGGTGATTGGCCGACAATTACGATGGCCCCTGGAATCACCGTTCTTGAATGGAAGAATCATCTAATAACTCTTCCATGCTTTTGACGTCTTCTTCAACCTGATGTATTAAACAAATCGTTCGGCATAGATTCTGATTCAGGCTATTCTTCCTGATTTGAGATATTCCGCTTTTATGCCATCTCTGCCAGTATGTGCGCCACTTTTCTCTTGATTGCTCATTTTACCTCATCGCAAGTGACATCAGGAACGGCTTCCGATTTATCTCTACCTTCGAGCCGTAAACACTGCTGTAGAAACTTGCGCAGATCGTTTTTTTGCGACAATGATCTGCGGTACTTGTCCCTCCATTCTTTAATGATACCGGAATCTGCGTTTTTAGAAGGATGCCTTTTTGCGGTTTTCAGGCTGTTCCTCTTTAATGTGGCCTCTCGCAGCTTCGTTCTCCTGCAGTCGTTACACTCCT